GACATGGCCTCGTGAGCTCAAGAACATGACAGTTCATGGGAAATCAGTATAATAGACATAGCCTGTCTGTGGGACACAGGGAATCCTCCATGTCCCTGTAGCAAGACACATTCTGTTCTCGTGAAACAGGAGCTCAGTGTAAGGGCCAAACTCCCTTTAGACATCATCTTCCTTCAACACCCCATGATGTCAACATCACAGGAAATTATTTGGCAAAGAAATCAGGCAAAGGGAATTGCTGGTTAAACAGGACTAAAATCAGTGAGAAGATGATGGTTAATGTTACATTTCTCCCTTTGGGATCTACTCCTGGTTAGCCCTTCAAGCCTCTGTCACAACCAGTGCAGACAATGACCAACCCAATTATGCTCATAAGGGTTACTGTTGTGTGTGTGGTCATAAGACATAGAAAGTGCTTCCAGCCAGTGGATGGCTCCTGTCACGTGGCCAGTGCCAACCTTCAAATGGCGAAATGTGAGCAACTTCGCAAAGGAGACTCAGAAATGTGAGTGCTGCCCCAGCTGCTGGTCCTGAGACTTGTGGACCAAGCACTCGTGGACGGGAAGCCGCCTTAAGCGGGTTCTGGAAGGACCTGCTGCCTGGAGCCAGCCTGGTAGGGTGGTCTGTTCCTCCCACTGCACCCTTGCCTGTGGTGACCGATACACCATAAAGTTATAAAGGGGCTCAGCAAAGCTAGCCCCTGCAGAACTGGAAGATTCTGTCTCCTACTTAGGACAAGCGGCTACATCATTAACTCCAGAAGTGTCAGAACTTTGCAAAATGACTCCACAAAACGGACTAGCCTCAGACTACTGAACGGAAGCCAGGGAGGTGTTCGTGCACGAGTCAGTCCTCAGTGCCACCTGTTTGTAGTCGACACTCGAGAGGAAATTTGTCAAGAGACAGTCACAGCAAAGACTCACACCCAAGACACAACTTGTTGGAGGCTGAAAGAGTGAGGGTCATGATCAACTCAGAATACCACTGGAGACTATACGAGTAAGCAGCGAACTGTTTCTCATAAATGCAGAATGCTGGCAAACTGACAAACTGTACGCACCCAGAAGGACCGCTGAGGACAGTCACGACCCAGGCACAAGTGTTTCTTATGATTAGGCATCATTGAAGCCTGTTAGTAATAATATAAACCTGTGATCAATTAAGCAGCTGACCAATCGTTATCTCCTCCCTGCTCATTCTACCCAATAAATAGGAAGGGCTGTGGACGGTCAGGGGGCTGCCTTCGCTCACTAGAAGTAGGGAGCTCTCTTCCTCTTCCCCTGGTCCTTTCCTTAAAACAGTTCCTTTTGTTTTTTATTATTTCTACGTTTGTCCCTTCGTTCAGTCATAATGACGGTCTCAGGCAGTAACAGTAGTAACTGCTGTAGTGACTGTCTCAAGTAGTAGCAGTGGCAGTCGGGTACAATACCTAATACAGCTTACACCCTCCAGAAAAGGATTGACTTGGATCTCCCTTTAAATAATTTCCTCCACTTACTGGATGGTTTAGGGAGCTCCTTAAGGGGCTCAGTTTCTTTTTTTGTTTGTTTGTTTCCAAGAGATGGGGTCTCACTATGTTGCCCAGGATTGTCTCAAACTCCTAGGCTCCAGTGATCCTTCTGCCTCAGTCTCCCAAAGTGCCGGGATTACAGGCTTGAGCCACTGTGCCTGGCCTCTGGCTTCTTTGTATCCGTCCTGATGGTCATGCCTTCACCTCCTGATGCATACCACCCTCGTGGGAGGGTTGTGCTCCTCAGCTGTCTCTCAGCTCCCCCTGAACACATGGCAGCTGGAAGCAATGGCTGGACCCTTCTCCTCAAGTCCTCCTTATGACAGGTGGTGGCGGTTCTACAAGGAATGGATCCGCTCTTCCTCATGAACAAGAAGAGGGACTGAGTTTCGCAGAACTCTGGCCTATGACAACTCTGTCCCAATTCCTGCGCTGAGATACAACCAAACTTTAGCCCGTGCCCAGCAGCATCAAGCCACGGCCACAGGATGACCCCAGCCCCACCACTAAACACCCAACTGCGAAAACCCAGGGCTGCCAGAAACATTTACTGTTCATCCCAGCCAACACCTGAGAGAGGCACCTGACCTCTCTTACAGCATTGACAAATCTGCATCTCTTGCAATGCAGACCATTTCCCGCACCTGAGATCCTTCCCTTGAACTGCAAGCATCAGGCAGGGCAGGGCCTGTCTCCCAGTCTCTGGCGGAGGACAGAATCCTAACTTCTAGAACTGCCAGCTTGCAGACCAGCTGCCTGGCCACCTTCACTGGCCAACTCTTTGTACTTTTCCACTCCTCTGATTCTCCTGAGGCCCCGCTTGCTCCCATCTCTCATTGCTCCTTTAAAATGCCCAAATCGCTTCCACACAAATCAGAGTGGAACTCGGCTCTTTCCCCAACTATCAGTAGTTACTAAATAAAATCTGTTTTCACTGCTTTCACTAATGTCCAGCTGTATCTATCTTTGACATCAGTCTCGCAATGGGGGCCAGGACCAACGGCCCCTTCTTCTCCAGTTCTGTCTGGCACGAATGTGCCTCCTCCCCACAGAGGGGGCCTGGGGTGGGCTCTTCTCTTCCCCTGCTCCCTCGGGTCTCAGGCTCCCTGTGAAGGGCAGGGAGTCCCCACGTAAAACCACTCCAGGGCCCAGACAACTTTTGCCAGCTCACTTCTAAATAAACGACAAAAGATCTTTTAAACCCTTTTTCTCCCGAGGCTCATTCACGACTCAGGGTGTTTTCCACGCCAGTATAAGTGGAATGAGTGAGTGAATCCCTCCCTGACAAGGGACATCAGAAAGAACACCAGGCAAGAGAAGTGACTCAGGCCACACGGCTCAGTCAGTGCCAGAACCAGGGCTTCAATCTGAGCCTCGACCTCCAAATCCGTGACTTCCAACTCATGCAGTCACTACCAGCTCAATTCCCCAGTGACCTCGTCAGGGGAGCCCCTGGGTTCTCTCTCCAGCATCCAGCTGCTGCAGAACACAGGTCGACAAGCCACTCCCTCGCCAACTCTCCTCTTGACCAGGGTCACACCCTGCCTTTCTCTCCTGAGCATCTAAGCCTCTGAAAGCCGTCATAACTATTGTTTATGTGTTTTTATAGTGACAAGGACTCCACGGTACACGATCAGGTTTTTTTGTGTGTGGTAGGAAGGACTCTGCACTCAGATGGATATTTGGGTCCATCTAGTGGAACTTCCAACACACCAAGACAAAGGATGGGCAAATGCTGCCGGAGTGCACGGTTTCTCATTGAAAAAAATAATCATGTCTGTCAAATGAGTGAGGATCATTGATGGCCTGGGTCACACACATGAAATGTGGCTTTAGGAATGGTGTTTTCGTCAAGAAGGACCCACAAACCAACGACATTCCCTGAGGTTGCTGTACGTTCTGCAGGAAAGACATCACTAACAAAATTCAGAAATACTGTGTCTTATTATTTCAGAACAGCTCTTAGATACATGAAAAGTGGTGTGGAAAGATCTGTGTATTTAGGTGGCCCCCGTGCGGAAGCTTAAAGTAAGGTCTTTTAAATAAATGGTCGTTGAGATTTTAAGGAAAAGTGCAAGGGGCCAAGTTTGTCGAATTCACGGTCACACTTCCTTCATCTTCCTCCTTCCCAGCCTGGGGATCTGTCGGGTAAATCAGCGGGTTTCCAGTTTCATGAGCCTCCAAGCCCTTGCCTCTCAGGACTGAGAGGGGAGGTGGTAGAGGTGACTCTGGCTCACACAAGGCTGGCACCCCCACATAAAGAGCTCAGCATTCTCTGGAAACTCGCTGAAATTCCTTCCATTTAGACCAGAACATGGTAAAATGGAAAGATGTCCATGCCAGGGCCTTTAATCACTAAAATACTAAAACATCCCAATAAAAGGATAATGGGAAGAGCTGCCATTCAGAGAACGGCTACGCTGTGACAAGCACTGTGGGGCTGGCTGCAAACACTCCTGAAGCTAACCCTCACCACAGTGTGCGGCCCAGATATTTTCAGCCCTGTTTTCCACAGCGGGAGACAGACTCAACCTCAGAGCGAAGCAGCAGGCGCAGGTCCCAAGCTGGTAAGACCAAAAGCCAGGATGTAAACCAACGTTTAGTTTGAGTCAATTGTGTTGTCTTTTTCCAACCCCCAAAACATAATGCAGATGGATGCACACAGTGATCACAACTATCCTCAATGCTTCCCACTGGGCACCTCGGTGCCTGGCACTGCCAGCAGCATCCCAGGGCAGCGGCCAATGAGGCTCTAATGCACTCCGTTCCTGTGGCAACACCTGACTTGGATGTGCCGTAGCCCTCAAGGGCCTTTTGGTAGCAAGAGGTCAAGGGGTGGGGGAAACAGCTTTTAAATTTCCCTTCAACATGCTGCAGCTGCAACTGCTACATTTAAAAAAATATCAAAACAAAACTTCAGAGCCTAAAACTGAGCTGTGTGTAGGATGCTCTTATCTTCGCATCCCCAGGTGAACTGTTCTGCAAACAATGGCATGGTGATTGGATTGTTTTTCTTTTCCAAAATCAGGGCTCAAGAGGAGAGAGAAAAGGTAGCACATGAACAGCTAAATCAGAGAGAAGGCGGTCTAGGAAAAAGAAATCACCTGTCAGGGAGTGAGAGCACGAGACAGCCAGGGGAGGAGAGGGGAGGAGAGGAGAGGAGAGGGGAGGGGAGGGGAGGGGAGGGAGGGAGGGGGAGGGGGGGGGGAGGGGAGGGGAGGGGAGGGGAGGGGAGGGGAGGGGAGGGGAGGGGGGGAGGGGAGGGGAGGGGAGGGAGGGGAGGGGAGGGGAGGGGAGGGGAGGGGAGGGGAGGGGGAGGGGAGGGAGGGGAGGGGAGGGGGGAGGGGAGGGGGGGGGGGAGGGGAGGGGAGGGGAGGGGAGGGGAGGGGAGGGAGAAAGAGGGCTAAGGGGCATTTGTCAGGATAGAAAGTATTGTTTTTAGGGAGCTATGACACAGTTTGATTTTTTTCACCCATAATATTGTACTCACTTTATATGTCGAGATATACGATGATATGTTTGCCACTTGGAAGGCACATTTATATCACAATGCACCACCGGTTTGATCTGAAAAAGGAAAAAATACGCCTGAGAATTCAGTTCAAATTAGCCAACACTCGTTAAATTCAACAGTGTGCACAGCACTGCCCCAAAACATAAGAAAAGGGGGGAATCCCTTTGTCAATAGAACACCCAAGGGCGGGTCCAGGAGGGATGCAGAGAAAGGCAGACCGGGTGCTGGGGGAGAAGATCCCAGCAAGCGCAGTGCGAGGTGGTCTGGGGCTGAGGGCTCTGCAGTGCACATGGAGGGAAGTGCAGGGTGCGGGGGCCGGGCCGACGGGCAAAGGTGCCACAAAAGGCCGTGCATCCCTGCGAGTGAGGTTCCCCATGGTCCCCACGAAGCATGCGTCGATGGCCTACTATGCCAAGGAGCTCTGCTGGTCAGGTTATGGGGCCCCAAGAATGGACATATCGCTTCTGATTTCATTACAAGACTCCAACCAGAATGTCCTGGCCAGGAGGTGCGAGCCCCTCCGCCTTCTCTCCTGTTTGCTGTGAATGCAGCCTGAGAGGCCGGGCCAACCACTATGGCCTGGGGACAGCATCAGTCTCAGGTCCACTGCGGATAAGACACAATGGGGGAAAATAACTACTGAGACCTGTCCCAGATAAGCAAAGCCAGTCATCCTCACAACCCTGCTGTTTAAGAATGTGCAGAAAAGCAAATGGGGGGAGCTCTGATTGGGAAGGGATGTTAACCCCCAACCCCGTGCCAAGTGACAGGGTCCTGGTCCCTCCCACAAGGCTAAGGCTCACCGGAGGACACCCCAGCACCTCAGGCCTGGCCTTCCTCTGAAGAGCTGCTCCCCTGTCCGTGTTCCGTCTCAACATCCCCAGCCCACCAGGATGAGAAGCGTGGGGTCCCTTCACACCTCCCACCCCTGGTTTCCCCTGGATTGAGATCCGTCTGCCTCTGCCCACACCTCCACTGCAGTCCCAGCGCCTGGCTCACAAACCCCACCCCCGACGTCTCTCACTTGGACGATGGCAACATCCACGCAACGGATCCTGGCCAGGGTCCCACTCTGTCACCTCCCACGGACACCATCGTCTTCGCGACAACACCGCTGGGTGCAGTCTCCCTCCGCGATCCACGGGGCAGCCTCTTCACTCTGCTCATCTCCCTCCGCGATCCCCGGGGCAGCCTCATCACTCTGCTCATCTCCCTCCGCGATCCACGGGGCAGCTCATCACTCTGCTCATCTCCCTCCGCGATCCACGGGACAGCCTCATCACTCTGCTCATCTCCCTCCGCGATCCACAGGACAGCCTCATCACTCTGCTCATCTCCCTCCAGGATCCATCCGCAGCCTCATCACTCTCCGCTCGTCTCCCTCCAGGATCCATCCACAGCCTCATCACTCTCATCCGCAGCCTCCTCACTCCGTGCTCGTCTCCCTCTGGGATCCACCTGACCAGCCTTGTCACTCTCTGCACCCTACACCCTCCATGTTATGCTCCTTCAGCCACCCTGGCCCCCAGCCAGTCCATGTGCTTCCCGCAGCCTCTGCTGCACAGTGAGGGCCTCTGCTCCAGCCCCCACAGCCTCTCTACCTCCAGGGCCCATGTTCACTGCCCTTCCAAGGCCCAGCGCTGGGGAGCCACCTCTAAGCTGACATCAGAATCGATCATCCCCCCAGCACTAAGCCGGATTCATTCAGCATCCTTCCTACTACCTACTTCACACCCACCCAGGAAACTCCCAGCACAGACACCATGGTGCGGGCCCTACCTGCACCCCATCCCCCAGAAGTTCGGGTGGCCTGAACCTGTCAACAGGGCCTCCTTCCACGCCTAACGCTGCTAATCCACACCCTCCTGTCCAAGCCGCAGCCCCCTCTCCCTTCCCAACCCAGACCCAACTTAGCACAGAAGAGGTTCCAGAGTCCCCTGGCATCTGAGTCCCCTCCCGATGAGGAGTTCAGGTTGGGCAAACGTGTCCCTCCCTCACTTCCCATCTCTGCCTGGGGACCCAGCTCTTGACCCTCACCTCTGCCGGGGACCTGCTGCCTGCCCACTTGCCCACTCCAATGCCAGGCCGACAACTGGGGGGCTCTGCTCCCTGAGTCAGACACAGTGGTAATAACTCTTCCTGCCTGGCCCAGCAGGGAGGGTCCTCCTGGGACCCTGCTACTCTGTCTCCTCGAGGCCCAGACCCCGGCTGGGTTTCACAACTCAAGCACAAGACCATGAGACAAACCACTTAACCTATTAATGTTACGGGAGCTCGACTACATCACCCCAAGTTGAGTAAATGTCATCTATAAAAGTGCCTTGGCCAAGAACAGCACCCAAGCCATGCACCCCAGATGCACAGTGAGAGAGAGAATGAGCTGCACACCTCATTAACAGTGAGAACTTTGTTTTAAAGAGGAGAAGGGACAAAAGTTACTCTGGGTCTTCTGTCCCTGAAGGAGACCAGGGAGGTGTGTCTCATGGGGGCTTTGGGAGAAGGGTGAGAGGAACCAAGACAGCCGCAGCTGCTGCAGAGAGGCCACTCTGGCACCTCCCTGGGATCCTACGGTGCCTTTCATCAGAACAGAGAGCTGCCGGAGAGGCAGTGAGAACACAGTGAATCTCAGAAGCCGCCTGGCAGACGGGGAAGACCCCAGGCTTTGGAACTAGTCAAATCTGAATTCAAATCCCGGCTCTACATCTTACTATCCATGTGGTCTGGAGAAGCAACTGCACTTCTCTGAGCAGCAGCTGATGAGTTTTTAGAATGGGGATCATCGTGCGTTAGAGTTCTTACGAGAATAATAATGAGGTAACATTTTATAAAAGGCACAATACAATACCTATAACACAGTAATAAATATTCAATCCAATAAATATGAGATTCCCACACACACACAAACACACCGAAACACACAGAGAGACACAGAAGGGAGGAAGGGGGCTGTTCAGGCACCTGTATCTTGTTACGGCTCAAATAGAATTGCTGATTTTATCCGTAGCCAGTGGATGAACCCAGCTTCCCCACCTCAGAAAATGGTGCCACCCTGGCCCCATTTGTTCAACTACAAAATCTGGGAGACGTTCTCGAGTCTTCTCAACCTTTATGCCATCCGTGCATCCGTCAGCTCTCCTTCAAAGCCACACAGCAGACTCTTGGCTCCTCGCCGCCTCCACCATCTCTCCCCTGCCCCGAGACAATCCTTCCCTCATGACAAGCAAAGCAGCCTTTGTAAACACAAATCAGAAGGCGGTCGGACGCCCCTCAGTGAGGCTCGCCCTTATCCTACCTACCCCTCACACTGACCCTCAGGCCACGCAAGCTGGCACTGCCTGCCTCTCTGCCCTGTCTCTGCACCCCTCCTGGCCTCCCTGCACTCTGGCCACGCTTGCGTTCTTGCAGTTCCTGAAACACCAGCCCACTCCCACACAGGACCTGAGCCTGGAACATCCTCACGGATCTTTGCCTGGGTTGCCCCTCTTACATTAAGAAGTCACTTCGACGTCAGCTCCTCTGAGAGGCCCTCCCTGCCCAGTCACACACCTGCAGTTACTTTCATCCGAGCACTTCATCCTGCCTCTGCTTTCTTGTTTGTTTATGTGTTTCCATTTTCCTTTGTAGAATGGAAGCCTCTGAGAGCAGGAACCCTGGTTGTCATGTTCAACCCAGTACCTCCAGTGCCTGAACGATGAGTGACCCCAACAGGAATTCAATAACTATTTCATGAAGCCAAATGAATAATGGATGAGTGAATGCTACCATGACTAGGGAAAAACAGCTCTGATGCTCTGAAAAGGATTCCAGGAAAAGAGAGGCCATGGAAGAAGGTGGAAATGCCCACCTGCATCCATTCTACCCTATTATCATACTGTATATAAAATTATATACACCTGCATACTCATGGTAAAGAAACTAATGCTGAGTATCAACAACGAGCATGAATTTACAGACCTAGTTTGAAAACAAAACAACAGAAATTATCTTCTGCAAAATTCTGTTAAAATACAGCCACCCTAAGAACCAGCTTTCTGCTTCATTGCATAAAATTATGGAAACAATGAGCTAATTGCTCTTTTGAGGTGTTAACGATTCATTAACCCTGCTATCACCTGCCTAATTAAATAACTCCAGCAATTAAATAATGTGATTCTGGACTTTTTTTCACTGTACATCATAAAATAATCTCCCGAGCAATGTTGAGCATATGTGTCTGATGGTGATGACAGCCTCATTCACACTTGTCAGAGCCAAAGACTCACACCACTCATCTGTCCTGAGAGGCTGAAGGACGCCATGAGCTTTAGACCTCTTCAACCAAGGCAATTCAACCAAATCTAAAAGATAGAAGATTCAAGATGACCACAGGTGTGTCTCCCCCAAGGAGCAACTACAGGTTATTGAATACCCACCATGAATCAAGCATTGCAGTAGACTCTTTACCTGCATTCATACCTAACCCTCAACATAACAAGGCAAAATACCTCAGTAACAAAGAATCAGAGAGGTTATATCATCTTTCCAAGAACACACAGCTATTAAGTGTCCTGGCCATGATAAGCCATCAAAAAACATTTTATTTTACTTTTTAGCAAAATGAGTACTGGAATCCCTACCCATGTAGCCTAGTACTTAGGAGCCTGTGCTTTGGATCATCCAGGATCCCAGTACTGGCTCTGCCACTTACTAGTGGTGTGGCCTTGATCAAGTTTATAACCTCCCTGAGCCTCAGCTGCCTCCTGCATGCAGTGCTAACAGCAGTAGTGCACACCTCATAAAATTGTTGAAATGAGATAACGCATTGTCAAGTGCTTAGCAAATGACTGTAATGAGGATTCAGTTGATAACAGTGTATTAGTTTGTTTTCACGCTGCTGATAAAGACATACCAGAGACTCGGCAATTTACAAAAGAAAGAGGTTTAATTGGACTTATATTTCCCCATGGCTGGGGAGGCCTCACAATCATGGCAGAAGGCAAGGAGGAGCAAGTCACATCTTACGTAGATGGCGACAGGCAAAGAGAGCTTGTGCAGGGCAACTCCCATTTTTTTT